TGCAGTTTACAATTAAAAAACCAAGATTATAAGTCTTTCTCAATGAAAGCAAAATCTGCACTGTTCATAACATGTTATACGAAAACTGTTAAGTGTCCCCCCTTTTTTTTTAAACGATGCAAGTAATAAAAATGTTTTTTATGTTAAGGTATTTTGTGTTGCTTGCATTTAAGAATTAGTAACAATCTAAAGTTAATTCATTGTTAAAAACTATTTTTTATCATTTCAAAAGTCTTCTAATATTGTGAAAATCTGGTTTTTTAGTGTCATATTTTGGCAATATATATATATATATATATATAGTTTATCTTTTTTCCTGAAATTTGCACGTATGAATTTGAGTTGAGTTAACCTGCTGAACTGATCAGACATTATACTAATAATTATCCTTTCTGAACCATGGTCAAACCTAAAGTTTTGTTTGAACAAATAGTTTTTGACTTTAAGAAAAGGTATGATGCACTGTAATAAAGAGGGTTCTGGAATTAAAGTAAGATATTAGCATCTTTTGTAAAGTTTTAATTCTTCATAATCATTAATTTTAGAATATCATGAATGAGGTGCATGTGACATAAATAATTAAAAATAAAAGAAATTAGTTGTTGATAGTGGGAAAGGAACAAAATGTGTTACCATACAGCTAGTGGCAAATTTCAGTTTTTCATGCACTTGAAATAAATTTTATAGTCAAGGGAGAAAAAGTACTGAAAAGTAGGCTATTTTCTATGTGTAATCTTTCCTTCCCCTTGCACAGTTTAATTTCAGTTGAGTTGATTTGCTAAACTGAATATCATAAACTTGGTGCTACATAAATTATCCTTTCTGAACCATGGTCAGACCGAAGATTTTTGTGGTCTTGCACACTGATAGAATTGGAACAAGTAACTTCATTATGTTGATTCTGTATTTATTTTTAAAAATAGTATAATTTTATAATACCTTGAAAGAAACTTGAGGTATCTATTTTCAGTTTACAGATTCAACATTCTAGTAAAATTAGAAAATATTCTCACTTAAATATTTATTGCAAGCTTCATGCATAAGTAATCCTGATTTTGCATGCTAAAGTTGCTGATGTTACTGCTCTAGCAAATGCATATTTTTGTGATATAAGGTACTTTTTGAACAGATTTCCTGTGTACTGTTACTTCATTTAGTCATGAAAGATGATGATATTGATGTTGCCACTGATAATATTGCAGTCATAATTTTGCAGTTTACAATTAAAAAACCAAGATTATAAAGTTTCTTTCTCAATGAAAGCAAAATCTGCACTGTTCATAACATTTATACGAAAACTGATTAAAGTGTCCCCCCTTTTTTTGTTAAACGATGCAAGTAATAAAAATGTTTTTTATGTGTAAGGTATTTTGTGTTGCTTGCATTTAAGAATTAGTAACAATCTAAAGTTAATTCATTGTTAAAAACTATATTTTTATCATTTCAAAAGTCTTTCTAATATTGTGAAAAATCTGGTTTTTTAGTGTCATATTTTGGCAAGTATATATATATATATATATAGTTTATCTTTTTTCCTGAAATTTGCACGTATGAATTTGAGTTGAGTTAACCTGCTGAACTGATCAGACATTATACTAAATAAATTATCCTTTCTGAACCATGGTCAAACCTAAAGTTTTGAACAAATAGTTTTTGACTTTAAGAAAAGGTATGATGCACTGTAATAAAGAGGTAGTTCTGGAATTAAAGTAAGATATTAGCATCTTTTGTAAAGTTTTAATTCTTCATAATCATTAATTTTAGAATATCATGAATGAGGTGCATGTGACATAAATAATTAAAAATAAAAGAAATTAGTTGTTGATAGTGGGAAAGGAACAAAATGTGTTACCATACAGCTAGTGGCAAATTTCAGTTTTTCATGCACTTGAAATAAATTTTATAGTCAAGGGAGAAAAAGTACTGAAAAGTAGGCTATTTTCTATGTGTAATCTTTCCTTCCCCCTTGCACAGTTTAATTTCAGTTGAGTTGATTTGCTAAACTGAATATCATAAACTTGGTGCTACATAAATTATCCTTTCTGAACCATGGTCAGACCGAAGATTTTTGTGGTCTTGCACACTGATAGAATTGGAACAAGTAACTTCATTATGTTGATTCTGTATTTATTTTTAAAAAATAGTAGTAATTTTATAATACCTTGAAAGAAACCTTCTTTGAGGTATCTATTTTCAGTTTACAGATTCAACATTCTAGTAAAATTAGAAAATATTCTCACTTAAATATTTATTGCAAGCTTCATGCATAAGTAATCCTGATTTTGCATGCTAAAGTTGCTGATGTTACTGCTCTAGCAAATGCATATTTTTGTGATATAAGGTACTTTTTGAACAGATTTCCTGTGTTACTTCATTTAGTCATGAAAGATGATGATATTGATGTTGCCACTGATAATATTGCAGTCATAATTTTGCAGTTTACAATTAAAAAACCAAGATTATAAAGTTTCTTTCTCAATGAAAGCAAAATCTGCACTGTTCATAACATTTATACGAAAACTGATTAAAGTGTCCCCCCTTTTTTTGTTAAACGATGCAAGTAATAAAAATGTTTTTTATGTGTAAGGTATTTTGTGTTGCTTGCATTTAAGAATTAGTAACAATCTAAAGTTTAATTCATTCTTAAAAAAACTATATTTTTATCATTTCAAAAGTCTTTCTAATATTGTGAAAAATCTGGTTTTTTAGTGTCATATTTTGGCAAGTATATATATATATATATATAGTTTATCTTTTTTCCTGAAATTTGCACGTATGAATTTGAGTTGAGTTAACCTGCTGAACTGATCAGACATTATACTAAATAAATTATCCTTCTGAACCATGGTCAAACCTAAAGTTTTGAACAAATAGTTTTTGACTTTAAGAAAAGGTATGATGCACTGTAATAAAGAGGGTAGTTCTGGAATTAAAGTAAGATATTAGCATCTTTGTAAAGTTTTAATTCTTCATAATCATTAATTTTAGAATATCATGAATGAGGTGCATGTGAACATAAATAATTAAAAATAAAAGAAATTAGTTTGTTGATAGTGGGAAAGGAACAAAATGTGTTACCATACAGCTAGTGGCAAATTTCAGTTTTCATGCACTTGAAATAAATTTTATAGTCAAGGGAGAAAAAGTACTGAAAAGTAGGCTATTTTCTATGTGTAATCTTCCTTCCCCTTGCACAGTTTTAATTTCAGTTGAGTTGATTTGCTAAACTGAATATCATAAACTTGGTGCTACATAAATTATCCTTTCTGAACCATGGTCAGACCGAAGATTTTTGTGGTCTTGCACACTGATAGAATTGGAACAAGTAACTTCATTATGTTGATTCTGTATTTATTTTTAAAAATAGTATAATTTTATAATACCTTGAAAGAAACTTCTTTGAGGTATCTATTTTCAGTTTACAGATTCAACATTCTAGTAAAATTAGAAAATATTCTCACTTAAATAAATATTTATTGCAAGCTACTTATGTATATAAGTAATCCTGTAAAAAGTTGCACAACTAAATCTTTAAGACTTCTTTTATTATTAAATATGTGTGCAAAGACTTCTATTGAGCAATATATAATAAAATAAAGGTAATTACTTCTGTTGACCACAAAACTGGTGGCAAGAGCACTAATTATGAATATATGTGATATCACAAAACACTCATAACATTTGCATTTTCGTTTGATGTAACCTCTTGATTCTTAGTAAACCACATTTTATTTTTATAAAAAAGGATATAAATTGTTGTTGCTACATTTTTTCCTTTGCATTTTGAAAAAAAAGTTTGAGACCTGTATTTATGACTGCAATGTGGTTCATTTATAAATCAGAATTAACATCTTTTTGATAGGGAAAAGAGCAGTTGAAGCAGAAATAAATTGGAACAATTACCTGCAAATGTTTTTCTAGTAGGTAAAATAGCAGAAATCTACGACAGCCTTTTTATGAAGCGCAAAAACAAATTGGATCAAATACTTCCACAGCAGTGGCTAATTTGATAGATTGTGCAGAAAGGCATTCAGATATTTTATTGTGAAATTTGCAGATAGAAATGTGGCTTAGAGTTCCACAGGAGTAATTGGTACAACCTTGACAGGATATCCACCAACTTTTTGATGGTAGGCCAATTTTCTTGGTTGATGGGATAATACATAAGTACTGGAATAATATATACCACTTATTTCTTTGTAATTTTGTTATTTTATAAATATGTGGGTTTTATAGGATTAGTTCCTTGTAATAGGCTAGTCATTACTGTTAAGCCAAAAGTTGTGTTATGCATTGAACTAGTTTGCAGTGCTTTAAAACATAATTTTTTAGCATTAAAAAAACTTTAATGTTAAACTTTTCAAGGACTACTGAAATTTTCAGATAGCAGTTTTTTATTGTACTCATTTATTTAAAATTTGATAATGATATTTAAACTCATTAAAGAATAATTTTTAAACAATTTAGATTTTGAATCTTTGTAGAAGTATTATAACTTTGTGTTTTGTAACTGCCTGTAGCAGTGTGATTTATTTATGCACAATTGAATTTTAATTAAGGGTAATATGCTTAATCTGATCAGACATTGTGCTATATGAAATTCTCCTTTTGTACCATGGTCAGACCAAATTGTGGTCTTGCACACTGATAGAATTGGAACACATTGTAGAATGATGGGGAAAAGTACTTTCAAATTTTAGGATAATGAATGCAAAGTTTATTACTGGCAGATTAAGACTAGTGCCTGTTAGGTTAAAGGTGTCCAAAAATTATCTATAATTCTTAATTTCATAAAATCTGATGTAGGTTTTCTATAATTTGTTTTTACTTAATGTCATACTTTAATGCTAGATTATAATGTTTAATGGGTATGACAAATTAGTGCGGTTCCTCCCCCTTCTACTGGCAGAAAAATTTATATCTATGATTATATAGTTTGTTTTATCATGTTTAAATTGCATATGTCACTTCTAAAATGCTTGTGCTGCTTTTATTTTTAGGTTTACAACTCAAAGCGTTTTAGAGCAGGCAAAGGTAAGATGAGGAACCGTAGAAGAATTCAAAGATTAGGACCCGTAATTGTGTACCGTAAAGACCAGGGACTCACTAGAGCCTTTAGAAATATCCCAGGTGAGTAAGTAAACCTGCATTAAATCTGATTTTATTAATTTCATGTCATTTTACTGGAAAAAAAATTTACTTTAATATTTACATTCTAAATATTTCTTGTATCCAGATAGTTTGAAATTTTTAGCAAAAGGTGTTATTTCATTTTTTTTATCAATTTGTAGGCATTGAAACTATAAATGTGGATAAGTTGAATTTATTGCGATTGGCACCAGGTGGGCATGTAGGTCGATTTGTAATCTGGACTGAATCAGCTTTCCGACGTTTAGATGCTTTGTATGGTACATGGAAGAAAAAGTCTTTGAAAAAGAAAGATTACAAGTAAGATGCTTTTTATTTTATATTTTGTATGAAACAAGTTATTCAAGTAGTTACTGAATGTAAAGTTTTACTGTCAATACCTAATTAACTACACCCTGTTCTGTTACTTTGTTGTAATTGATAGAAAATTACTGCCACAGCTCATCAGCATGAAACAGTACAAAAAAAGGTTGTGCAATAGCAAGTAATAACATGTCATAATTTGGAGTTTTTCATCTGCAACAATATATGCACAGAATCCAGGATATATAAAAATTATGTAACTAAAGGTTCTTGTTGACTTTACCAAAGTTGAAACTATACTATTGTTCAGTTTCTCTTACAAATGTAATTTTTTAACATTCACGTTTTGACAATTTCAAATAAAAAAATTGGGAAAACAACAAAATCTAATTTTAATGTGGTCTCCCAATTTTCCTCTACTCATATTTGGGAAAATTTTATGCTCATTATGAAAAATAAGAATACAAGAAGTTTGTGTTTTGTAAATTGCCTGTAACAAATCGCTAGTGGTTTATATATGCACAATTGAATTTCAGTTAAGTTTAATATGCTTAATCTGATCAGACATTGTGCTACAGGAAATTCTCCTTTCTGAACCATGGTCAGACCAAAATTTTATGGTCTTGCACACTGATAGAATTGGAACAAATTGTAGAATAATGGGAGAAAAGTTCTTTGAATACTGGCAGATTAAGAGTAACCTCTTTACTTAGTAACTAGTTGTTAAAATTTTATGCAGATTTTGTAAAATCCGATTTGGGTGTTCTGTAATTTGTACTTATTGTAAAATTTTATACTCATAATGGGAAGAAGAAAAAAAAAAAAAGTTCGACTAGTGTAAGACCAAAATTGACTGGGGTATTTAATTTAAAAATTTGCAGTTTTTGATTTAATTTTAAACTTACCCTGAGGGTCAGTTAATTAGAATAATTCAAGGAAATAAGTTAAAATGAAATGCAGAAAAAAGTGTGTACAATTTAATAGGTGTGCAAAGAAGTTGAAGTATCCATTATGGATACTTAATACAGAAGTCAGATACAGAATTGAACAGTGGATTTTAGTGATAGGTGGGGAAATGACTGGAAAACTAAACTTCTGGAGATTCCGTGCAATTTTATAACTGATTGAAGAATGAAATTGAATGATAATAAAGTTGTTAATTTTATTTCTAACAGTTGTGTGTCTTTGATGAAATTTGTAAAAACGATGAAAGTTTGTTCAGTATTGTAAAATCATTGTTTCGTTTGCTTTATTTATTATAAATTTGATTGATCCAGCTATCCATTTCACTTCTGAAATTGAATCAGGTAATTTCCTTCCTTTACATTCTAATAATACACAACATGGGGGGAGGGAACCATTCACATATTCTAGTAATCCACAATGAATTTGATTTCAGTACTATTGTTCCCTTGTGATTGAATTTGTTTCAGTACTATTGTTAAACACTTTCCTGTTTGCTTACCTCCCCACGCTAAATCATGTCACTGTGATAAACAATGCTGTTTACTGATATTTTGCTGTCATAGATCGTTTCTTGGTATCCGAAGAATTCAGTTATATGAAATTATTTGCCATTTACTATGTCATTGACAAAAACCTGTAAAAATCTTTAATCTAATCTTGCTATTAAAAAAGGTATTCCACTGTTAGAAATAGCATTAATAACCTTGTTATTCAGCTTCATCCTTCTGTGAGTTATAAGATTGTGAGCATTCTCCAGCAAATCAACTTACAGGTAATTTTCTCACCTATCAATAAAATCAATTGTTTGTTGAAGATTCTGACTCTGTTCTTATGGAATTAACCATGTCAGCAAGGTGTGAGGTATATCTGCCAAATTAATCATTCAAATTTTGCAACAAGGAACAAAAATCTTTATGTGAGAGAAGAAATAAACAAATCTTTTATAGTTAATCATAGCTGGAAATTGGGGGGGGGTTAAAATTATCTATAACACTTCTCCAGTTTGTGAACTAGATTTTGTTAAAGCTTTTCATGTTCACAAAAATTTATCTGGTTTAGTTAATGACATTAATTCCAATGTAGTTCTTCCTAACAGTTTTAAAATTGATATCTTAAATTTTCGTTTCGTTCCCCCCCCCCCCTTCTGTGGGGAGATGGCACTATGCTCGCTTTAGCTTTCATTCACCCTTTGTTTTTAGTAAAAGTGCAATCATCTTTCTTTTGTAGAGAACTTTTTACCTCCTGACAAAGAGGGACCTGTATCTGTTTGGCTTCATTGCCTTCAAAATCAATAGTTTCTTTTAGATCTACATTAAACATAAGGTTGTTCTTTTAATGCCATTTATAACTTGGTTTTTTCATTTATATACATAGATATGTATGTTTTTTCATCTGTTATTTTTAGGTCCTTTATTAGTTCGAATGAAGATTCCATCGACTTAACTAATTCTCTAGATTAAACTGCTCAAAAATAAATTTTGAATTATTATTTTCCTGTTAATTGTTATGTGAGTAATTTTTCTTCCCCCCTTCCTGATTAGCAGCTTTGAATCTATTTTGGTTATTCTCCGTATTACCTTGATTTGTCTTTAGTAAATTAATTGTACATAATTAGAATAAAGTAACCATTTGTTTTATGCTTAGCATTCGCAATATTAATGTTTAATCGCAACAGATCAAAGTTATGTTGCTGAAAAATATCTGAACTATTTTAAAATTATTTGTAAATTAATTTTGTCTTTATTAGTATTCATTTGCATTGGAAGCTATACTCTTTGTTAGAAAATAAATTTTCTTTTCACTTTCAGTGTATCATATATCTTCTCTCCATGGGATCACTGTATCATGATTTGATAATGCAATGCCTCTATGGAACATTTATTTAAAATGTCAGAATCCTGAGACATGTTATTGAACATAATCTACTGTTATGAATATTATTTAATATTTTATTATTCGAATGCAAAATGTGCAATACGTGTGAAGATTCAGGAATTTAAAAAAAATGTTTCACATAGTCAAGCAGGTTAAAATTCTTTAATTATTGCTGTGGGTGCTGATATGTAAATTCTTAAGTTTTTTCTCCATAACTTATGAAAAAAATGTTAATATAATAATTATTACCAATGTTACATATTAACTTATTTTAAATATTAGAATATTCTGCTTATGAGAAATAATATAGCCAAGAATTTAAATATTTCAGTAAAAACTGGATTTTATAGGAATTATTTCAGCATATTAGGCTTAATTGCAAAACACTATCAGACACACATTGGGCCCACCAGCCAGCCAAGCAGTAAATTCGCTGAAGACTGGTAGTTTTGCCCAAGGTTTGAATCCCACAAATGGGCTAGGTGTTTTCCCCCATGTGTAATGTGTATATGAGCCAGTTCCCTTAGAAAGTCCTCCACGAAGGCGTTCCACCCCATAGGCAAATAGCCCTGGAGGCTGTGCTTTATTCTATTGAAACCAAACTAGACACACGTTAAGTTTTGGCACATAGGGCAGCTTCATTCTCTTGATGTTGTAAGCGAAGAGATTAATAATATGGCATTAAAAATTCTGTCTTTTCAAATACTTATCAAAATATTTATTCTTTTTCTCGTCATAATCTCCAGAGAAACTTAACATTTCCTCTTTTTTTTTTTTTTTTTTTTTTTAAACTTGGAAATGCATCTTAATTATGAATGTTTTTTAAAAAATCTGTAAGAGTTTTACAGTGTGAAAATAATTTCAGAATATTAATGTTTTCTATGTAATAATTTCAAATATGTAAACCATTATTTTACTGACAGTTTTATTTTTTTCCCCTATTAGCCTTCCAATGCATAAGATGACAAATGTTGATTTGGCTCGTCTTCTGAAAGGTCCTGAACTTCGAAAAGCCATGAGACGTCCAATGTAAGCATTGCCTAAATTAGCTTAATATTTTTCTTCAATGTGCATAACTTTTAAACTGGTGTAATACAAAACTTTTTTAATGTGTATTTTATTAATTGGGGGGGAAGCAAAGTTTAAACAAAAGTTAGCATATATTTTATTATTTTAACTGTGAAGTCACTGATTACAGTTTTGTGAACTAAAAAAAATTTCTGTAAAATACAGAAATTATTAATGGAGGTGTTTTGGAGTGAAGGAGCTCTGAAGTGATACAATAAGAAATTGCGGTACTGCTGATCTGATACTGTGTACAAGAAATTTAAACATCAGAATTATATATATCCAGCTTGAACTTTAAAAGTGTGATCATCATGTAAAGCTTATATGACATCCGCTAAATCTTCAGTTTAGTTTTGCTTCATTTCAAACCATCCAAAATCAACTAAAATAAGAGAATTTCAATGTCTTGTATTTAGTAGTTTTTTTTTAAATGTTTAACAGGGTTCCAGGGTTCGTAGCGGTCCTTATAAGTGCTTATATTTAAAAATAAAATATAAAGGCTCCTTATAGGTGCTTACTTTTTCTTTAAAGCCCCCCCCTTTTTTTTTTAAATGAACGCACAATTTTTCCCTATACAAAGCTGAAACTAAATAAACAACTTTTCTTTTTAATATGGAATGTCAGATGGTGAATAATACTCCCAGAAATAGCTTTTCCCCCTTTCTCTGCATTAACATGATCTTTGGTGTATACTTTGGAAAGTATAGACAGGTGCCCGTTGTTCTGTTGGTCAAAGAATTGCGAAAGCAGTAAAAAATTCCGGCACATTCGACATTCTTTTCCTCCCACCCAAATACTACACACGTTTGAATTTCTTTCAAGATCTTAATAATTTGCATTCTCGTTCCGCTTGGTCAGTTCATATTCGAGTTTATTATGATCGTTATGCTTATATTATGAGCATATGTATGAATGTTTACAATAACATAGTTGCAGTAACTGCTGAAGTATAGTAAACTTCCAAAAATGGTTGTGTTTTAACACAAGATTAGCTTTCTAAGGAATAATATTCGGAATGGCTTAAATAAAGGGAAAGTAATCGAATTGTTTAAATAATTTCATTTTTTTGTCGAATACATTATACAGTACGAAGGTTGGGAGGTTCTCCCCTTTCTCCGCAAAATCTCGAATATTGAAACTGTTACAGTGTGCTGCAAAAAACAAGCAGCAGACCTCTTTTTTTGTGTGTGTGTGTGTCACTTTCCAATCTGGATTGAATAGGACTAAAAGTTCTGCGGTCTACCAACCCAAACGAAGAATGATTCTATTCCGGAAATTTAACACTGTCTGTTGAAAATTAGAATGAAAAACACCCCAGATTGGTAAGTCTCTTTCTTTTCCTTTATATAGTTCTTTATTCCCCCAAACCGGCAGCTGTTGGGTCCGTTTGCATAATATCATGTAGGGAAGAATTACGGCACCCATATTGCGCAATAACGTTGCGCTATTTTGCAGAGATAATTACTTTTGTTGTTCGGTCCGAGATTTGTTTATGTACACTTAAAAGAGTTTTACTGTGCTTGCAAGCAGAATATTTTTCTGTTGAGTTGGTTTGTTTTTATATGATGCACATATCGAAATGTCAAAAGCATTTATTTAGCGAAAAATCTAAAGAACGGCTACAGTCTATCTTCCCCCTCCGCTCCTCTTTTTCAAAGTTACGCTCATACTGTGTCCGAATATTCGCCAATTTTTCAAGTATGCGGGTAGTTAAGCTTTTACTGTTAAAGGATGACTGCATGAGGCAAATTTCTGTCTTCTGATTTCAGAAATGTTCCTCGTTTTTACTTAAATTACTTTGCTTGCAGTATCTGTTAAGGGAAAATTGATATACGATGAAAATTTGGAAAATGTTCAGAATTTAGATTTAAATTAGTTAAATATCAATATGAGTGGAAAAATAAATACTATTTATTATTAAGTTCCAAGCAAACAGAATAAATATGCCTTATTATTTATTTCCTCTATTTTGAACTGAAATTTCATCATTAAATCTTGTAATATAGTTTAGTTCTGCTTAGATTTTTCACTCGTTGTAAACTAGTTCTGTAAATTGAACTGTTATTCAAAATTTAAAAAAAAAAAAAGTAATTTTTTTCCATTGTTGAGGTAATGCTTATTCTCTCTTAATAAATACTGCATTTCTCATATTTTAAATTACGAGTCTAATTTTTAAGGTTATGCAGTTGTGTATAATGTAATTAGACAGGTGCTTATTTTTCTTTTTTCTTAAAATGTGCTTGAAAAGTGCTTATTTTTTTAACTAAAATGTGGCTATGAACCCTGTTTAACTTAACCCCTTAACTGCCGCGGGCGTATATATACGCCTTGTTTAGCCAATGCGTTAACTGCCCCAGGCGTATATATACGCCCTTCCAAACTACTATCGTTTGCTTTGCACTGCTACTCGCAAAGATTGGGAATGCAACACCGCAATGACCTTGACAAAGTATGCAAAGGAGGATACTATTTCATAGTCTGGGGAGAAATTGGAGAGAGAGGTGTGTCTAAAGTGGTGAAAGTAATGATTGTGCAGTATTGGCTGGTGTTTGAGTAAAACTTATTTTTTTTAATTCAGTGTCCTCCGTTTTCGTTTACTTTTATAGTAGGTTCCAGGAATAAAGAAAGGTATAATGGACGTTTCAAACCCATTTATCTTTTTTGAATTTTTATTTGAACTGCGCGTGCTTCATATTGTTACTGAAACTGACCGTTTTGTAGAAGAGTATATGAACCAACACCTTGCAAACAAGAAATCAAGAACAAAATCGTGGCATTCAACCAGTTCAGAAGAAATATATGTTTTTTTTAGGCATATTGATTTCACAAGGTAGAACACTGAAACCTGATATTACACTTTACTGGTCTAAAAATGAATTGATCGAAACTCCATTTTAGGGATCTTTTTTTATTATACTTACATCTTTTTATTATACTTTTACTCAAAATACTAAATTCTGTGCATTCATTTTTTTCTTTTATTCTTTATTTTGTGAAAGTAAACAGTTTTCAGAAAGTAAAACTTGCACTTATTTTCCCCCTAATACATCGCATAACTATGCGTGCCTGTGTGAAAAACCGTGGCACTGGGAAATAAAGCTTGTACATTTTCCGCGGCAGTTAAGGGATTAAAAGTAGACTGCTTCTCGTTGTTACTTAAAAATAATTTTTTTAAAACTTATCTTTCATCTACACTTCATGGTAAACAATTAATTTAAGGAAGAGAAGGAGGTTACTTGTGAAAAGATATACATGATGAATTTAAATTGTTTTTACAAAATAAGAGGGGCGAAAGTACCCATCCTCGTGAGCAATAATTACTGTGGAACATAGAGTTGCACCCCACTCAGAGGCAGAAAAAAGGTAAAATTAGAATTCAAACTGTATTGAGAAAATGAAGGAATGATACCAAAAGTTGCACAATCTGATTTATTGATCAGAGAAAAACTCACAGCAAGTGCACTGCAGCCACAGATGTTATTGCACAGTTCACATTGGCAAATGAATGTGTGGTGCACTCTTTTGAAGATTCCTGGTGCTGTGTTGATTTTATCTGGGGCAACAACGATTCTCGCTGTGACATCTTCAGCCAAGTCCACAGCATCTCGTACACTAAATATTCCATGTGCCCTCGGAAGAAAAAGTCCCGTGGGTTGATGTCTGGTGAGCGAGGCCAAACCACAAGTCCGCCATGTTGGATTCTTCATGTGGGATATTCTCTGCCTCTCAAAGTTGAATGCGAACCTACCATAGTAATTATTGCTCGTTGGCTACTATCATGTCTCTTATTTTTTAAAAACAACTCACTCTATGTATCAGAGGTCATCACAGATAAATTCATGTTTTGCATAGTAGCATTCCTGATGCATCAAAAAATTATGCATCATCAAATGCTATGCTAAATAAAATTCATTATGCAGCAGTACTTGATGTAATGCTTTTTGTATACTGTCAGAATAATTACATATGTACCAGTGTTAGTTGCATATAAAAGTACTTCTGCTGTAGTGTACAGATAGTGTTGAATATTTGACTTACGATTTTATGTATTATTATTCCAGCATAGGAAGCTGATCAGTTGCACAGTGTCGAATACCTTAAGTGAATATCTATTTAAAAAGAATAAAAAATGGTAGACAAAAGTTCTTGTTTAATTTTGTGCATTATGCCATTGAAGTGGTTATTTTGAAGGGAAAAGCAACTACAGTCAAAAGTCGTTAATCGGGACTTCGGCAATTCTGGATTATCGATTTTTCCGGATTATAGATCATCAGTTTAAATCTTGTAAGATGGCATGCAGAAATTCTAAAATTAAAAATATGAAACCGTAATTTATGAAATAAAGAACAATTATGATCTAAAGGGTATCAAAATTTACAAAAAAAAAAAAAAAAAAAAGCTTAATATTTATTTGTTTACTTTATTAAACATTTTCAATGTAAGTTGCTTCGTTTTATGTGATAATGCTTTCTCTTTAATTAATGTGATAATAATTCTATAAACAGACATAATTTCTTGTTCAGTTACAAAGTTCCGCTGTTCAAGTCCCGTTAATTGCTGCACCAAGAATACCGACTAACTTGTCAATCGAAATTTTTTCGTTTTCACTAACCTCTCTGTCACATTCTTCATGTCTTTATCCATTTTTTGCAGCAATTCCACTTTTTGTTTGATGAACATCGAAACATACTTTCGTTTTGTACAATGTTTTGGGAGCTCCAGAATCGAAAGTTCAAGTTTACTTTTATAGTATTGCTCTTACAGTCTGCAAAAAATAATAAGCCGGATCCAATTCAAAAATTAAGGACCAACACAATCATCAACATTAATTGAAATAGATAATTTTAGCTTATAATGTCCATTATACATAAAACGCGCACGCGAAAATGTATTCTGCGCATGTGTCAACGCGCCGCATGCACAGAAAGTTTTTAGCTTTGAGATCCGGATTATAGATCATTCCGAATTATGGGTGTCCGCATTAACGACTTTTGACTGTATTCTATTTATTATTTTGACATAAATGTGAAAAATCAATGGATTGTGGTCATATTTTACTACTTTTTTTTAAATTATAAGAGAATTCATGTATAATCTTCAGAATGGCATATAAATTTTAATGCTAAATATATTAAGCTAAAATTCTGATTTCTGTGGTAAAAAATTGTCAGAAACTGAGCCTTCAAAACCTAAAAGCTACCTTTCATTGCTATCTTCAATTAGATACTGCGAGGGGGGAGATTTTTGATATAAAAGTCACAAAAAATAAGTGATCGTATAAAGAATTGAATGAACTATGCAAAATGTAAAATTGAAATTATGCACTCCTTATGTGCACTTTTATGGAGACTATACTAATAATAATATTTTCCTGAGAGAAATGAAGGACAGATTCTGTCAAATGTACAGTGGTCATCAAAAGTAAAGGGTAATGAGAAAAAATATGCTAAGTTAATGTTGCACCCAGTGCCTGCTGCAATTATGTATGTTAATGAAATACATTTGAGCATAAAATTGCATTTCGTGCGTCCATTATTGTCGGAAATATGTAGATTCCACATTAGACGGTGTGGTGCTCGGTAGACGCATATTGGAATTCCGGTTTGTGGTGTTGTTTAAAGTGATTATGGTTTCTGACAGTGGTAAGTATTCAGTAGTTATGGCTAAAAGGCATCGTTTAAGTGAAAATCAGAAACGGCAAATAATTGGTAAGAATCAAAGGTAAAAAACAGAGGTCACCCAGGATTTGTAATATTCCTCAAAGGAGCCACTTTTTAAGCATGAATCAGTTGACAGACAGCCTAGTCAAGGGTGACCAAGAACAACAACTGCATCAGAAGACCATTTCTGTCGTTAGCTCAAAGAAACTGCTAAACGATTTGGTTTTAGACGTTCAGGCTACCACAGGAATTCAATTAGCTGCTGCACAAAGGATTGTGTGCAAGAACCAGTGGTTTGAGTTCCTCTCACTCCAGCTTCCAGAAGGGCCCATTAAACTGGTGCCCTCATCATGTTCATTGAAGACTGGGCCCGAGTATTGTTTACTGATAAGTCCGGATATAGTCTGAACAGTGTTTCTAGAGATGTGTTTTGATCTGGATAGACGAATGAACTCGTGACTTACCTTCCCTTGTCCGTGAAATATCCCGTTTCTGCGACTTTAGGGTATTGGTTTTGAGAGGAACCGGAACACATCGCTGCATGGAACTGAATCTTTCAATGGAGGTTCTGTAACCTCTTAGAGATATGTGGATTGTGGATGAGGTATTACTGTTTAGGGATGCTGTTGGTTCTGAGTTTTTGCTAATGGATGACAATGCTTGGCATCATCCAACATATGTAGTGGCAGAATACTTGCAAACGAAAGATACTGAATAGATTGGCCACCTTACTCACTCGACTTGAAGCTGATTGAGTCTGTGTGGAATGCCTTATGGTGCTGAACTTCAGCACGCCAAATTCCTCTCTGGGCCCTCCAGAAGCTGAAAAGTGCACTCTTAGAAGAGTGGCATACAATTTCAGAAGACTTCATAAAATCTATGAAATATGTGAGGTATGCACATCTGTCTGAGAGGACCATACACCATATTGAAGAAACAATTTTTTTTTTCCAGAGGTGAATTTCCATCATTTTCCAGTTTCCATAACTTTTGTTTTAGTTTCAATATTTTGCAAACAGTGAACTGCCAAACATTGTAATTTATGTTAACTAATGCTTTTGTACAAATTTCTATCGGTAATTTTTCATTAAATATCAGTTATGTTTCAGTTCTGTCGTTATCTTTTACTTTTGATGACCAGTGTAATTAAGCAAATAATCAGCTGCCTAACATAATTTGTTAACTAATGCTTTTGTATGAATTCTATTAACAATTTAAGTATCAGTTATGTTTTATTTCTGTCATTATTCTTTAATTTTGGTGACCAGTGTATATTTTAAAAGAAAACACTCAATTTGCCTTTAGTATTCTTCTCTTTTCTAGATATTTTTTTGAGATGAGTATAAAATATTCTCAAAGTAACTTTTTAAACATGAGGGCATTTTGCATAATCCTCTTTAAATGTGTGTAATTTAATGTGTATGATGGAATTATCTACATTTTTCATACAAATTCTAATATAATTCTGAATATCAGAAAAGCATAAAGATTTGCCTTTTTAATTTGAAATATTTTTTGTGCTTTTGTAGTAAAAGGGTACGACGTTACATCTTAAAGAAGAACCCATTGAAGAACACTAGAGTTATGTTGCGCTTGAATCCCTATGTAGCTGTCCTGAGGCGCAACAGATATCTGCATGCTGAGCGAAAAAAGAAGCAAAAAGAAATTCTTTTGATGAAAAAGAGAGGTGTAAGTAATCATTTTATGTTTTTGTATACAAAATCTAAAGATGCAAAGAATCTTTCTTTATACATTGCAAACAAAAGAATTATTAATGTTTTATGAAAACTTCATATATATTTTTTCCATATTAGATTGAAGTGCCTGAAAAAAAAGGTAAAAAGAAGCATGTCAAGGATGTTAAAGAGAAACCAGCCAAAGGAAAACCTCCCAAGGGCAAGGCTGGAAAAGTCACCAAAAAAGAAGTTAAAGCAAAGAAATAAATTATCAAATGGAAAATTTGTAAATGATTGATAATAAAAGACTTAATGGTGATTTCGTGTTTGGGCTGTATTTTCATAATTAGGTGCAGATGATTAAAAAATATGCCAGACTACATTGTGGGAAATAAATTTCTAATGCATGAATAAGAAGCATATTTTTCTGTTATTAACAGAGCAGCTTTTTACCTGAGCTTTCTGAATAGAGTTTAAAATAATTAACTGAATAGAGTTTCAGAATATAATACCTAACTTATAACTTAACTATGTCTTTCTGAATAGAGTTCATTTAATAGATAAATCAGAAGACCAGTTTTAGCCTTAACTTTGAAGTTAGTGAGGAGTTCAACTGCATGTAAATTAAGAGTCCAAACATATTTTGTGAAATTACCATGCATCTTAGAGCACTTACAAAAAATATGTTTGTGCATTTCACATGAATTCATAGCCTTTTTTTGCTTTGTGTTTGCAGTAGATTTAATAATTGTTAATGATCTTTTATCAAATAATTAGTGTATTTTGCAATGTGTAACCAGCTGACTTAAACACATTCTGTTTTTGATTTGTTTAAAACTCGGGCATGGCCAAATTGAGGTTGTCTGAACCCTTAGCTCTGGCTTGCAAGTTGCATGTATTCCCTTAATTTCTTCGCTTCCAACATCGAGCGATGTTCGGTCTTGTGTCTGTTGACTTAATGTTCTGTTTTCATTGTTTTCCTTATGCAAATTGGATCAAAGATCAATCGGCGATAAGCTAACATGGTTGTTAATGATATAGTATTGACGGATTGGCTGATTTTGTGTTATATACACACTGCAATGGTGAATGCGATGAGTTCACTGGTTTCCTTTTTAGTCCAAAAAGGCAGTTAACCCAGAGGGATTTTTAATTTCGTTTTGCCATTTCGCGTTGTTTCACTTTTCAAATTGTTGCCACCAAATATTATCGCCCTGCGTTGCATTGTTTCACTTTTCAAATTGTTGCCACCAAATATTATCGCCCTGCGTTATATTTAAAGAATATGCATAAATTTATGCGAGTTTCTCCCATTGTGATTAAAGAACAATACCTAGAGCCATCAAATTTTGAATAACGTAATCTTTCACCGAATATGGGCATCTCGTAGCCTTATTTTGGAATGAATTTGTTTTATTACCGATTTCATATTTTGTAAAATTTGAACGAATTTTTGATTAACAAACTCAAGGATTTAACAATATGCTCATTTTAAAATTATTTTGTGATATTGCTGTTGAACACAATTTTATGGTTCAATTGCAAAGAATATATTTAATAAATAAAGCATACAAAACCTTAAAAAACGCCCCTTTGGACGTAATTTAAAATCTGAAACCTCTTTTATTTTTTAACTGAAGTTTATGAAATAAAGATAAGTTTTATTTTTATATTAGTCCCGGCATTTATTTAAGCAAAGCAAAGTATGCTTTTGCTTCTGCTCCACCGGCAACATGGTATGGGCCCAGCTTTGAACAAAAGTAAAGGAAGAGAGCCGTTATCTAAGAAAAGAAGCTAAAGTGTCTTAGAAGTTGGTTCAAGCAGGTGCACTCAGGGGTAACTAAAGATGTCATTACCACCAGAAGTGTTTGAATTGTTGAACCATGACAACTGGGACTGATGGAAAGTCAATATGTTGCTAGAAAGAAATTGTTGGAGCTTCATAGAAGGTAAAGAAAAATTGGATAAAAGTGTAGTAACAAGCATGATTTCATTTTGAGGGGGAAAATAGTGCTATGTAATGTAATTAAAACTGAGTTTGGGTCATTAATACAAGATTGTTCAAGTGGCAAAGAAGCATGGGAGGTTTTACAGAAGTAAATTGAACCAAAAACGAGAGCAAGAGTAATGTAGTTCTGGATGAATTTTTTAGAATGCACCAGATGAAGAAATTCATCACAAGGATAAGAATTACTGCAAAGAAGCTGGACACAACTTATATCTATATTATATATAGCAATTCAGAGGTTACCCCAGGAATACTCTGGTATTGTGCAATTGATTTATATGTGGAAAGACTATGATTTTACATTGGAAAAAATTGCTAAAGAACTGGTAAAGGAAGAAAGTTGACAGGCGCATATTTTATGCTTAAATGCCGGGAAAAGTAGTCAAGTAAAACTAAATCTAAGAATAAAATGGGGAATACGAAGATAGGATCTTATTAAACCTTGTTTACAAGAGAAGATTCGACTGGTAGCAAAAATTGGTTCTTCCCGAGTGTCCCTTTCACACAGCGAACAAGCGAATTGGAGGTAGAATTTGGTAGAACGTTCCTACCTCTCGGGAGCATGACAAGTGGAGAGATTTCCCATATTGCACTGTGCAGTTTATTTAATTTTAGCAAACAACATGGCTGACGTGCAACTGACTGTCAGCGGAACAATTGCGTTGGTAGATAGATATCTGGGGATGCAATATTTTAAAAAAATTAACGGAAATTTGTAAACAAGTACAAACAAGGTTTTCTGATGCTGGGTATTCCAGTAATACCGTTCAAATTAAAACTAAAGATGTGCTATACCTTCTGAATTATTTTTTTTATTTGAGAACTTGCATCTGCTGTTTATGAATATTATTGAATGGTTTTGCAAGACAATTATTTTAAGCTGAAAAAAAATTTTTTTTTTTAACTTTTGGAAGAAAAGTAAAATGTTTTTTGTCTACAATTTTCAATGTTTTCCTCCCAAATTTTCTGATTGTATTCATTAGAGTATTTTTAACTTTAAGGATCGATATTGCAATTAATGATTTACTAGTTTCTGAGAAAAAAATTAGAAGAAATGAATATGATGTTGATCACATTTTCATTTCAAATAATTTTTCTTTTCAGTATTTTGCAAAACTCATCCTTGTTTCTGTAAAGTATATAATTTTAAATAGGCGGTAAGAATATTAAATAATTTAGTCCATATCTATTACAAGTTTTAGTAAAAGGATATATTGAAAAAATTTAAACTGAGAAAACGCAGTTTAAAGAATGTAAACTATCTAAGTCGACATTAAATCATTTCAAATTTCTTGAAAATTTTATTGCTGAATTTCAATACATGCATATATAATAAAACATAATGCTATTTAAATGGTTAATATAAACATAAATTACAAGCTTTTATTTAAAATTTTTGTAAAACTTGTTCAAAACAGTAAATTAGTTTTATTTTCTAAAACATTAAAAATTAATATTTATTGTTAGACATTTTTTGAAAAAGCAAAGTTGAAACTTTTAAAAACCACAAAGCATTGTATTTAGAACCGTTCAGCAGCATACATGAATTCTTTGAACCATTTGGCCTCGTATATAGATTGCATTTAAAATGAATTTAGGTGTATTTTAGTTAATTAAAGAATAAACTCTGATGGCATTTTATTATAGCAATTGTAGACAATGTCAAGAAAGATGTTACAGCATTATCACATTAGCTGTTTGTTGCCGGAACAAAACGTTTGCAGCAACAGTTCTGAGAAACGGCCTTTGGCGAAATAGGGTTACCTTCTTCACTTGGTAAACAGGCTGAAAGCCAAACAAGAATCAGTTATTGCTCAGATTGGCGAAAGTGACGTTTCCTTTCAAGTGACATTCACTTCTTCGTGTTGTTTTGTATCCCTCACACGCTTTTCGTTTTAAACTTTATTGTTAGTAATGGAAGATAATAGAAAGGTGAATGCTATCAAGTTAATCACTTTGATCTCCATGCTGGCACTTCATGTAACTGATAAACACATTTCTGGTTATAGCAATCAATTACATCAGTAATAGCCAAATTCTGTATACACCTAAGAATAGTTTAAAAACATGTGCTGGATAAGTTTATTTGTCACACATCGCTTATGTGTATTTTCTGTTGTCTGCATTTCAATGAAAATTTGTGACCTGGTGAAAGCATTTTCTGACTAACTTTATGGCTCATAATTACTGTTCTGTCCATTCAAACAAACAGACCAAAAAAAAAACCTCCTATGACAAAAATCTATATGGCTGATATTTACCTCCTCACAGCCAGCAGATACTATTTAGCAAAATGAAGATCAAATAAAGCATATGAATACATGAGCAATCAAACATGTGCGAGTTGTTTACTGTCCCATAGAACACTCGGTAACATACCTAAAACACATTAATTATACCAACTCTAGAAATTAGGTGTTCACATCATGAGTTTGTTTTATGGTTTATTGAGATTACAGCAAAGCACACTAGGGCTATCTGCCTAAGGGAAGGGGAGGACTTTCTAAGGAAAACTGGCTCGTATACACGTTACACATGGGGAAAACCACGAGAGCGCCCATGCAGCCGGCCCGTTCGCGGGATTCGAGCCTCGGACCGAACTACCAGTGTTCAGCGACTTTACCGCTCGGCCGCTTGTGGGCTCAGTTTGTTTTATGTGATTACCGCAAAGCCTCGAGGGATCCCTTTGTAGAAGATTTTTTTAAAACTGGCTCGTATACCAGTTACAAATGGGGCAAACCAAGGAAACGTCATGTAGCCAGCCCCGTTCGCGGCATTCTAACCTGAGACAGAACTACCAGTGTTCAACGACGCTTCGGCCACTAGTAGGCCCATGCAATTCATTATGTAAACAGACATGAAGGTGATAATCAGTTGTTCGCTATTTTAAGTAATGAAATGTTATAAATGCACAGCTGTTACATTTCTTATTATTTATTAGTCATGTTTTTATTACTTAGATCATATGTATGATATAATTATGAATTAACCCAATAACAAAATGTGTACACTCTTTAGTACTCAAATACTCATCAATTATTTTTCCAACTGATTATTACATGCCCATAATAATTTGCAAAGAACTGATAACTATAGTTGCTGCCAATTACATAATTGTTATCTGAATTAAAAGCAACTTCAAATAAACTTCTTGGCAGTGTTCATTTTTGTATTCATACATACATACATATATATATACACATCTAATAAGTCATATATTTACATACAGATAGAGAGATGTGATGGTTTAGAAGTTTTTAATATATATTTATTAGTATTAATGTAATGAATAAGATTTATATTAATGAATG